TCTTGCTGTGTGTTCTTTAGTTTGCAGTTCTGTAGATCCTTCTTATTTTCTTTTCATTTTTGTTTTATTGTTTTCTGTTGTGTTTTTTTAGCTAACGGACCTAGGTAAATTTTGACCTTTTCTGCCTTTGAATTTGAGTTCAATTGAGTCAACAAAATTTTCATGCGCAAACTTCCCAGCCAGACGAATCGTATCAATGCTGAGCACCAGTTTGACAAGTCGAACAATCGAGCCATGAGTTCTGGTAAAGCTCAGTAAGGGCATTCGAGGAGTTCCGTTTCTTCTTGACGGACGCTATTGAACACCCTGACGCGAGGTCGGATTCCAATACCTTGCGTTGCATAGCAACGTTGCGAAATAAAGCCGCAGGCTCATTCAGTTGTCAGACTTTTCGTTGTCACGTGTGATCTTGGTCTCGGTGTCCCACAGTCAAGGACTGGCACTACGAACTGTTGTTTTTGTGTGTTAACGCACTCCTTCCATGAAAGTTGCGTCAAGATGCCGAATAAGAGTTCTCATAAAAGTCATCTCTTTTCGCGTATTTTCAAAAATTTCCTTGGGATCGTCAGAGGGACAACGAAGGCAGTTTGGCGCCCAAACCATGGCCAAGTTATTTACGTCCATCTTTGTTATAACGCACATATGAGGGAGTGAGAAAATCTGCAAACAACAAAGGAAGCTGAAAGTTTTCCAAAAAAAAATGTTTTCAACTATGCAAGTGTTAACGGTGTTAAGGATTAGGACGCCCAGCCTTCGAACTTCGAAATTCGAATTAAAAAAAAAACCCAACAAGTGAAAACAAAGAGACTCCATGTATGCAGCAGCGCTACAGTCGTGGTCTCGATCGTTTGTCACCCTTGATCACAGAGCACCCGATAAATTATCTTATTTCCCAAATAAGAGGAGAGTACAATTCTTTCCCCACATTTTGCTCGGTAAATGATCTTAGGTAATAACTTAACTATTGTGCACAGCGGTTAGCAAATCAGCGTAAATTAACCAAAGAGAATAGTGAGTCTAGAGAGGCTCTACACATGCGTACCTGTAAAAATCTAATGAGATACGAGAGGACGAGTCTGTTGACTTCAGGAAGAGACATCGCAAGTGCCACAGCCACTGTAGCGTCATCACAGTTGTTAACGCACCTTTCAGTAGGAACGAGTCAAGGAAACATGACGTGCAACAGGCATTAATAATAAATGTATATCGCCTTGTTCAAGACCACAATATAATTAATAAAAAGGCGTAAGTTTCTAAAGAAACTGTAGTGCTGTGTCGGTGTGAGTGTAAGGTAATTTAACTTTGTCACTTGAGTTGATAACATAAATTGGCCGCCGTTAAGAGTTTCAAAGCTAACCTATTGAGCATTAATCCTTCAGTTTCAATCTGACAAAGGGCTAACCCTCGAAATGTCAGCTTTGAAACTCTTAACGGCGGCCAATTTACATTATCAACTCATTCGATAATACAATTACCCCACAATACAATAACCCATGGCTAGCCAAAGCTCGAACCCAGATCTCTCGATTCAATGTCCAGCGTGCTACTTCCCACGTGACCACAATCACTGTTGGTGCATCAGACTAAAGACTCAGCGCACTTAACACTGCGAAATTAATTTCATTTCAAAGGATATTAAAACAGTTCCGGTATAAGAGGTTCGTGAAGCTCCCTGAACCAAAGTTTCAGAAGTGACGCAGGTACATGGGGATCTGTAATTCCAGTGGGAGCCTCCCATTTGTCAAGCCTGATTTTCTGGGAGTTTACTTCGTCGATGTCTCCAGGAACCCTGTGAAGACAAAGAAAAACGGTCACCTAGTTGGTGTTGTTCACGCCACGCTCTGTTCTCGTGCGCGCTGTTTATTTCATTATTTGTCAATTTAAAATACAACTTTCTTAAGTTAGGACTAAGATGTAAACGGGTTCCCATTTGAAAGAAGCCCATATAACGCTTACGAAACCGACACTATTGTTGTAGCATGCGTAGCAGCCATTTCGTTTCCTTTTATCCAACCGTGAGAAGCGAGAACAGAGCGTGTGCTGCGAAGCGACAAGGTTTCCTTCCTACTCCTCCCATATGCTCGTAGCCTTTTTGGGTCGCTTTCGCCTCACGGTATCGAGCCGTTCCCGCTCCGCTAACACTTCTCCTGCTTGGAGAAACAAAAAGACCTGCTGCACAGGCTCTGTGGTTGACCCTTTAAGAAAATGAAGGCGAAGACGTTCTACCTTACCTGAAAATACCTTCCGTTGAAGCACCTTGGTGCTCTAGCACCGACTCAGCCAAGGTTGGTAAAATCCATGGCAGTTTAAGTGAAGGGAAATGCTCGGCCTGCGCCTCCATGATGTCCTCAAGGGTGGCACCAAACATGGATGGGTGGAACACGGAGGACTGGGAATAAAAAAAAAAAACAAAAAAACAAATAAAATACATATAAAAGAAATTTTCTTTTAAAAAGTGAATGATGGGTTACGAATTAGTTTTCAGAGCCAAGACAAGACAAGACATATAGAAAGCCTAAAGGATACAGAAGATGATGACGAAGAAACAAAAGGGCTTTCACTTTGGTGACTGAGCTCTGAAGCGCTGTGAGTCAGGATCAATTCGCTGCTGGTCTTCATCCAACGATCAAAATGTGACTTATTTCACGTATACATCCTTCGTTTTATGTTTTGTATTTGTTTTTTCCTCTTTTTTTCTTGCTTTCCTCTGCGATTTTTTTCAATACAGACTAGGAGGTTTAGTGAGTCCCACAAAAAGATATAAACGAATACCTCTCTCCCTCTCCCTCCGAAAGAAAACGTCCGTCTTTTATTTGCAATTCAGCTTTGTAGTTGTTGTTTCTAACGCTTCCGCTTGTAAACTCTCATCGGTTCAAGTAATCCCTA